AAAAAATAAAAATAAATAAATAAATAAATAAAAGAAGAAGAAGAAGAAGATAAAGAAAGGCAAAAAAAGAAAGAGACACTCCGATCTTCAGCATTTATCTACAACCAATACAAATGTCGTGGAGGTTCATAATCATTATAGCAGTCATGTTAGTGGCCCCAACATCTTGCATTATAGCAGTCATGTTACTGGCCCCAACATCTTGCATTATAGCAGTCATGTTACTGGCCCAAACATCTTGCATGTCACCTAGGCCCCAAAATCTCCAAGGCTAGTCATGTTAGTGGCCCCAAATGTCTGTATGGGTGGACCAATCCTCATGCTCACCTTCACAGCTTTCTTACACTAGTCTCCATCTTGCATGTCGCCTAGCTAGAGCTGCCATCATCATCTTCTTCATTGCCATCAGAAACCTCATCATGTCGCCTATGTTCAACTTGTTGTCCCTCTTCTTGAGTCTCCTCAGTGCAACCAGCCCCTTCCCCCACGTCTCCCCCCACCCCCTGCGTTTTTTCCATATCAATTGGACTGATCACATATTTAAGCACCCTATTACTGAGGACTAGTTCTTTCTGCTCAACTAACCATTATCTACATGATTTTCTACAAACATGTAGTCATGATTTATGGGGTTGCAATCTCTCACTTACTGCCTCAACTACCTCGTCCTTGGGTTCAACTTTTATAGTGCATGTACAACAATTTGTGGAGCTTCTCGATTTTCAACATGTTCCTCCTTGGTGTGTCGATCCATTGAAATTTACTCCAGTTTCTCTAGAATCTTAGCATGGAATATGTTTGGCTTAGGTTCACTTGTTATTTTGCTTAAAAAGGAGAAGACATTGCTTAAATAAGAGTACGATCACAAAGCAAAATACGGTGGAATAGAGTCGTATACTATTATAATGCTTCAAGTCCATGACCGCATGAGAATTTGAAAGCTAACCAGCTCTAGCTATGTGCAACTCTTTAAAGTAAGGCTTGACTCAAACTGTTCTTATGCATCTGTATCTAAAGCAAGGTCAAAGAATAAAGTCATAAACCAAAGTAGGTTTACACAGATGGACCATGCAGACATATTATGAAATTGAAACATCATCATAGGTTCACAATTTCAATTTACGTATAAAACAAAAGTTTACCTCATTCAAAGCCTCACTTTGTGGTTCTTCATCGTATTCCAATCTTTTAGTGCAATACTTCAACCCATCCATAATCTTGGTCCATGTGGACTTTAGGTTCTTTTGCTCTAACTGGGATTAGACAGAAAGGGGCTAAATTGACCTTGGGTAATGTCAGTAGACCAAGTAGGCTATGAACTCTGGGAAGGCTTCTTAGTTACAGAAGGCTAAGTACGACTAGGAGGTCTTTGCCTCTCAAGTAGCCCTGAATGTCTAAATAATTTTGGACAACCTATCCAGGTATTACAAGATTGGATCATGGAGGCACTAGATGGCTAGGTCTAGCACCCCTCGCCCTTGCACCACCCTGCCTCACTATTGAGGCAAGTTGTCTGTGAATATCTTCTAGATGGCCCTCCTTGCCAACTCTAGCTAAGCATCAAAATGTTTTACCTTTTCCACTAAGAGAAGTTGCATAATACAATCTCCTAGTCTTCTATACATCTTTTGTCATTTGCCTTCTTGCCTTTGCCTAAATGATGGATGCAAGTATTTATTGCTTGACAATCCAAAGAACACTATCATAAGGCACAACGTCACCCATCATTTAGGGTGGGAGATAGTTTAGGTGATTGATACCACCAGTCGTCTCTTTCCCCCAAAATAAACATTTTCACATATTTTCTAGACAGCCCTCCCAGCAAATTCAAATTGGGCATCAAAATGTTCCTTCCTCTTGAGAAGTTGCATGGTACTCTGTCCCTGTCTCCTCAATCATCTTTTGTTTTTATGCCATCTTGCCTTTTGCTACCATGATGATGCAAGTATTTGTTGTGTGACATTCCCAAGAACACAATCACAAGGCACATCATCACCCATCATTTTAGTTGGGCCACCAATCTCTTTCCCACTGAATTCTTATTAGGGTCCACCTTCACCCTGTATTGGCTAGTTGGATCCTCAGGTGCCCATGTCATCTCCTAAGCGTGTAGAAGCATAAGCCACTACAAGTCTAAGTCTAAGAAGACATTTATAAAAATACTATCAAATACATCAAAATTTTTAAAAAATAAAATTTCATTACTACTTTTCCTAAGAAAAATTTACTCTGGAAACAAAATAAGCATGCTGGAGGCAAAAAAAAAAATATCTAACAAAAACATTTGATTTGCTTCACTAAGGTTTGAAAAGATAAAATTAAAGTGATTCCCACATGTATATATATTATAAAAGTATTTTTTAACAGATCAAATATGAAAAATATTTTAAGGATATTAATAGAAAATCCCAATTTATTTTTTAAATTTAAAAAATAGTCCCATATTGTTTATGTTTTACACTTAGTCCCATTTTCTATAATAAATACTATATTTTAAAAAAAAATCTACATATCCAATAAGCTCAATTTTTGGCCATCCATACTTCTCACAACGATACACTTGTAGAAAATATTAAAAAAAGATAATTAAGTTAAATAAAAATGACCAAATACCCATAGAAATTTCAACATTTGAGGGATACTTGGTCATTTTAATTAATTTTGAACCATTTTTGGTGTTTTTTACAAATGTGAGATGGTGAGAAGTATCAACACTCCAAATTTGAGCTCAAGTTCATGCATAGAAGAGAAAATAAAACTAAAATACAACATGCACTCTGAAAAGGTGCGACTTGAGCATAAAATATGAAATATACAAGACTTTTAATATTTTGACAATGAAATGAGACTTTTTCATATTTTCCCAAATGTTTATTTAAAGAAATTTTCAGAGGAAACGTTAATGCTAGAAACATAAAAGACCAATAGAAAAAATTCATTGGCATCATTAAAAAAAAAAAAAATAGATTTACAAGCGTGTGCATATATATTATTATACACAAAGTGACCCACATGTGTGTGTGAATATATATAATTTGAATAAATTAAAATACGAAAAAATAACTTACTAAATCTTTTGAGAGTAAATGTTCCTTGGAAAAAAGTGTGAGCCTGCTAGAGGCATTAAAAACTTAAAGAAACAAAAAAACATCACATTAGTGTCATTGAGATAAAAAAAATAGCCAGTAATTCCCACAAGTATACATGTATAAAAAAACATTTTTGTGCACACCAAAATACGAAAAAGGTTTTATCAACTAAATTTCTGAAAATAAATGTTACAAGTAATTACCACATGGATATATGTATAAAACATTTTTCTATACATTAACAAACAAACTGATTTTTTGAGAGTGTGAAACAAAAATATAAGATAAAGACAAAATAACAAGATCCAATGATATTTCTCCAAAATAAATGTATTTAATGGACTTTAAATTGAAACAACAACCATTTCACTTATCCTAACTTTCAAAGCCGACCACCCAGCGACACCTCAGCTTAGAATCAGAGGACTCCAATCTTTGTAAATAGATCCACAAATACCCCAAATCAAAAACCTACAAACTATATTTAAGATCGGATTTCAAATATACTAGATCCGAACATCTCAAAACTTCCGGAAAACCCCTAAATAGAAAATCCAAACCTCATATTTGTGCGATTTTGATAACTTCTTTTATTAAATCCAAGAGTTGGATCAAATAGAGGACACAGAATCAGGCGTAGTGCCAATTTGCAGGTGTATGAAGCTCTCATTGAGGAAAAAAAAATGCAAGAAAAGGGTTTCTGCTTTGTACACTCCGCTTTATATTCTCTTAGACTCGGCTGGTCCTATCAGACTCGATCTAGGTGACCCGTCCAACTCCAGCAAAGAAACACCCGGATCTGAACAATGACTCTTTAGCTAAAATAAGGCCTCAAGCAAGTTGGGCACCCTCCGGGAATGGCAGGCTGATGTTTCCAGATGACTCTTCTAAGTCTAAGTTGGACTCGATGAGTTCTAAAGCACTTACTGGACTAAATGGTCCCAAAGCTTAGGGCCAATACCAGAGAAAAATTGAAAGTAAGCATGAAAGATCAATGAGTAATTCCTTTCCAACATATCAAGGTCAGTTAAAGGGCATGACATAAATGCCGCTTGCAAGCCCAATAACCAGCATAAACTTCCCAATTAGAAGATGGTTCAATGCATGCAATCTACTGCCATGCATGTCAACTCATGGGAATAAGCTTCTAAAAATTCAGGAAATATTATAATCATTTTGTGTGATATAAATACACGCTAGTTTAGAGTAACTAATAATTAACCACCCAAAAACAATCATGGATGAGATAGCATCACTCGCTAAAGCAATTCATATTGCTTGAGGAATTTGTATTTACATAGGAGACAGCACAAACAACACCTGAAATAAAGAGAAAGATTGCCCTGTACTTGTATTTTGGAACGACGACACCAAAAAAGACATTTGAAGAAGGTTTTGTGGAAAGGAGAAGAATGCAATTCATAGGACCAAATTACGCGGAGAATCAGGAAGAAATACCATAATCAATTTTTTATAGTAAGGAGTAGGCATTTTTTGGAGAAAAGCATCAATTATGTATTTGAGGTGCTTTCAGAAATAGGTTTGAAGACCCATCCAGGTTTTATGTATGTCAATAATGAAACAGAAAAGAATAAACCAAAAAAAAAAAAGGAAAATCAATGGAACAACAAGAGCAACCAGGTTATTTAATCTTTAAGAAAGTTGAGGAGTGAACTTATTTGAAGTTCAGGATTCACCTTTAGCCTCGGGTCTTTGCTTAATGTTCGCTCAAAGGCATAAACCTCACATATAAAGAACAAGGATTTCTAAAATTATGATCCAGACAACTAGAGACATGAGAAATACAAAGGGTAACATTCCAGCAATCCAATAAATATCACAATCCTGTCAGATATTAAAAAATACTCGAATTATATTTTAAATATAGAAAGGATTAGCATGAAGTCTAACCAGCTGAAAAGTAAATAGGAATCTTTAGATTCATACGCTCCCAGAAATCATCTAACAACATACAGAGTTCCTGCCCACAATTAAAAAATAGTGTCAAGTGGTTAATCTACTCCCAGAAGACAAGTTAACTTGTAATTACCACCATGGAATGGCTAAAAGAAAAGAAAAACACATCAATTGGACCTCCCACTCCAGTTATCAATGATTATAAATCGTGCACATGCTATAACAATTCCCGATTAGCATGTCATCAATTTAACATTCTTCAAGTACATATGAAAGTATCAAATATATGGAGTTTAACATCGGCTCCAAGAACTACATGCAGGCAATAGTATACACATATTCAAGAGAACATATGCTGTAAATATATTGGAATCTGAAACACTTATTGTCTTTAAAATACCATAATGAAATTGAAAAGTGGCAACAGTGCAATTGACAATTGACAAAAGGCAACAGTTCATCCAAGTTAAATTTCCACGCTTACCAAAACATAGAGGAATAAAGGATGAGAAGATTATGAACAATAACTAATCATCATTCCATGTGTATGGTATTCCACACCTTCTCTAAGATTATGATTTTTCAACAAAATAAATCCCATCAATTTCTAGTAAGATAGAAACTATTAGAGACAATATTATCCAAAAGCTCATGTGCAGAGTCGACTAAAGTATGCAAATGATCATTCCATGTGTATGATATTCCACACCTTCTCTAAGATTATGATTTTTCAACAAAATAAATCCCATCAATTTCTGGTGATTTCTGGTGAGATAGAAACTATTAGCGACAATATATTTCAAAAGTTCATGTGCAGAATCGACTAAAGAATGCATCGCTCATGTGCAGAGTCGACTAAAGTATGCAAATCATCATTCCATGTGTATGGTATTCCACACCTTCTCTAAGATTATGATTTTTCAACAAAATAAATCCCATCAATTTCCGGTGAGATAGAAACTATTAGCGACAATATTATCCAAAGTTCATGTGCAGAATCGAATAAAGTATGCATCACAATGAATTATAAATAAAGTCTTATGGTAGGCCTTTTGGAAAAAAAAAAAGTCAAGTGGCCTTGACTGATTTATCCAACTTGTACTGAACTGTCTGTACTGAACAGTCAGAGTAGTAACAACTTGACTGATTTACAACAAGTCAAGTGACCTTGACTGATTTATCCAACTTGTACTCAACAGTCAGAGTAGTAACAACTTGACTGATTTTTTAATTAATCAAAATAAAGTCCTTCATCGATTTCTTTATTTATACTCGAATATTATTTTATTGGGTGGGAAGTGGTCATGAACAATTGATAATTGACATTAAAAATTCCAAGACACAGAAGACCTCATCTTTGGCACAGATATGATATTTGACTTTTTAATTTTTAAGAAGCATATGATTTTGGTTTCTTATGTCAATGTTCCCTCACCAAAGTATGCATGAAACAAATAAATTATATATATATATATATATATATATATAGGAAAAAGCTACCTATAGGTTGTCACCTAAAATGGATAGTAGTTTAAGTTATGCTACTAGCCGTTAGGTCTTGATTGGACAGTTGGAAATGTATATTGATGTTATTATTTAAATTTTAATATCTTTCTAAAATCAGATCAAGATGAAATTTTGTGCATTCGTACTATACAATAGAGTGCACATGAAAAACATAAAACAAATATTTTCCAAATTTTAAAATGATGGGGGTAATTTGGTCGTTTTAAATTATTGAAAATATTTTTTTTATATTTCTATATAGTGTGTGATGATGTAGAGTATATACACTTAAAATTTCAGCTTAAACTGATTTGTAGAAAAAAGATTCAACTTCAAATAGTGACATGCATTTTCAACCATCCAATCAAAGATCTAACGGCACGAAGCATAACGTAAATTACTATTTATTTTAGGTACAACCTAGTGGTAGCGTTATCCATGCATGTACACACACACATAGAAGAAGATACTCATGTAGCAATGAGTAATTGTGCTCTTCCTAAAGCAACTATTGGAATCATATAATCAATACATAGAACAAGATACTTGTGTGGCAATGATCACCTGTGCTCTTCCTAAAGCAAATATTGGAATCAACACTTTTCCTCCTCCAGCAACACATTTATGTACCTGGGGAAACATACTAACAGTTACAGCAATAGAAAATATATCCCATTTAAAACAAAAGATTATTCAAGTGATGTTAACTTAAAGCTCAATTTGAAATAATTCATTCAGCAGTTTGAAATTTCAATTTGTAGAATTTACGTTCCACATTCAACAAAAGCAGTAGAAAACAAACAATATTCAGATAGTAGCAGTCTCTATGACTTTACTCAATTCACTCTTCTTACAAACATTGTGATCACATCTTACTTTGAGCCATTGGTATGGAGCAATAATATAAGTGAGTGTTGCATGTAACTTCAATCGCAAAAACAAAATGGCAACTTCTGTAACCCCATTTTTTGGCTCCATTCTTTTGTCTTCGACCACCTTAATACCGACTTTGGGGTATACTGATATGTTGATATTAGAAGAAATAAAAGATATTGCATGTATTGGCAACTATACTTAGCTCAATGGTAATAGATTCGACCAGTGTTTTAAAAAGCGGATCAGTGACCCGGATCGGGCATATCAAAAACCCATCCTGATCGGCGAATAAGCGATCCGGATCGGGAATCGACTAAATCGGTCGGATTAAACCTTAAAAAAAATCCCAAAGAATTATTAAAATTCATTACAAATGTTGTTTTTTAGGAATTCAATAAGAAATGAAGGTACTCCATTAAGAATTTTCATTTCTTTGCATGAATATGCGAATATTGATATGTTCTTTCCTGCATGAACTATTATTTACCATTTAATTTACATCACATAAAAGGATAAATATAGAATTATCATGGATTAAGTATATCATCATACATGGACTACAGTAAAGCATATAATTCGTAACATACGATCTAAAAATAAAATGACAGACGACGTCGTTCTTCATCTTGGTCACGCTAGTGCCATTGATTGAATTCACGTGACAATTCATTGACTCGTTCTAAAAACAAATCATCCAAATTAGTGGGCACCTGACTATATCCAAATCCCTGAGTGTTAGTGTTTTGTTGTGGTTCTAATCCAAAATCCCCGAAGCTTGTCCATCCTTCATGCTCACCTACACTATCGTGCTCATCCCTACCCTCTTGTAGTTGGGACTCGATATGTGAATAATTTGGTTGGGAATGAGTGGCCTCAGAATCATCATCTCTCTCATTTTCCCTTAGACCCCCTTCCCACTCTCCCTCATTAGGTGTAATATCACCAACATCTTCGATGAATTGTGGATATGTTGGCGGGCTGCTTCCTCTTTCATGCTGCTCATCACCTTCTTCAAGATCTTCCTCACTGATAGCCTCAAGGAACGCTCTCTTGTGCAACACTGGCTCCTCTTCTTCTACTACCCCTTGTTCTGCTGTGTCTGTGACAAATATTGTGTCCAAGTCTATCGACCCATAGTCTTCAAGCTTCCTTTTTATTTGTCGCTCTCAGAGGTTTAAGTTGTAATGAACGTAGACTAATTTATGAAGCTTCTCCGAAGTGAGTCGATTCCTCTTAGTAGTGTGCAACCATTGAAACGTACGCCAGTTTCGCTCACAGCCAGTAGCATAACATGTCTGGGAGAGCACCTTGATTGCTATCCTCTTTAGGTGAGGTGCATCACTACCATATATCTCCCACCATTCAGCTGAATTAAAATGCAAAAAGCATTGTAAAGGCAAGAACAATTCATATAATTAAATATATGAATGCACAAAATATTAGTAAGGGGATAACCTAGATCCATATTAGTTCGAGAATTCCTGACAAGTCTAGTTCCAAAGGATCCTATAGCATCCCTATATATAGAAAGCTAAAACAAAATATTTTGTTTTAGTACATTATTCCTCACAAATATAACAACTCAATCAAGTTCTTACCCAAATATTAAATAATACCTCTTGTATTGCTGCTACCTGGTTTCGATAGCTTCTCTCCAACCTGGCAATAATGTATTTGACCCCTTCCATAATCTTGTGGGGATGTTCAGGTGTCAAATAGAAAAATTTTGGTTTGAAGTAGTAACCTAGAAAATATATAGATAGAAAAATGTCATTTAAAATTTCATAAAAAAATAATTTAGAATGAAACATTCTAATGATATAAATATATATTTACCTGCATAATGAATTGGATGTCCAAATTTGGTGTTCCACTTTTTTTCTATAATCTCGATCACTTTACTAGCAAAACTACACTTCTCCCTAATAGCTGATTTGGCCCTCTCGTACCTTCATAAAGGATGCCCATGGTAGCTTTATTGTCAGCATCCACCATTCTTAACACCGTGACCAAAGGGGCAGTGGCCTTTACGATACTGGAACATCGAGACCAGAACCTCCTATTTGAGACTATGCCGTCCACTTTTAGCCCGGTACTGGACTTCGAGAGGCAGTCATTTAACCACTCTTCACTGGTAAAAAATCTCTTTATTGTACCTTCAGATTCCCGAATGGAGTCCACAGACAAGTAATCTGTCACAAAGCTGGTTAAGGCAGGCCTGATTATCTCTTTTTTTTTAGACTGTTCTCTGAACAAAAATAAAATTTTAGAATGGTTATATATAAATCTTGACACCAACCTCGCTTCCTATAGAGTCTCCTTCACAATTTTGATCTCACCGATCTCCTCTAACCTAAGATCGATGCTGTGTGCAGCACACAGCATCCACTCTAGATGCTTCCTCTTATCCATCAACTTGCTGCCCACAGAAACACATGCACGCGCATTGTCCGTAATAAACTTGACTACATGCTTATCTCCCACCTCCTGCACTATCTGATCATATAGTCGTACGTAGAAGTTTGCATCCTTCTTCATCCCCGATACGTCTTTACTAGACGAAAAAGCTGTACCTTTTGGAGAATCGATCAAGAAGTTTATAAACTCCTTTTTGCTAACTTTATTCAACCAACCATCACTCATGAGAGTAATGCCTGATCTTGACCAACTCTGTTTATATTCTTCAATCCACTTTCTAACTTCCTCCACCTCTTCATCCAATATTGGCCCACTGAGCTCATATGCCGTCGGGGGTTTTACCCCGGGCCTGGCTCTCTAGATTGCGTTGACCATAAGTGGAAAATATGAGCTATTGGCTGCATCAAAGGAGATCCCTTTATCGTAGAACCATTTACCAACATATCTGCCTAACATGTTTCTCGTACCTTTCACCATGTCTTTGAGGGTCATCTGTTCTGACTTAGGCTTTGAGAGAAATGGGTCTATACGACCATGACCTACAATACTTGCACTCCAAGATAAGCTAGAAACAATTTCTTCAACGTCTGATTCCTCTTGATACATTTTGCCACCAAACCCTCCATACATATTTGAGCTGGGCCCGCCATACATGCTTGAGCTGAACCCGCGTTCCCTCTGGTATGTTTCTTGTAAACTCATTCTTGTGGCCATCTCCAAGTCATTATTATATTGTTCTTCTGGATCATTCCCGCTTGATGGCGTATATAAACTAGCTATCTCCTCATCCATCCTCTGCTTTACAATTTTTTTACCTTTGATAGCCTTGAAAAATGCCGTCATTTGCTTTCTTACATTACTAGGGACACTATTGCACGCAGAAACATCTCCCTTAACCCCTGCCAAGTGTTGCTTGAACCTACGCACTCCACTACTTATCACTCTTTGGCAGTAATTACAAATAATTTTGCATTTTTTGTTGGCATCAAGTCTGACCCCATGTTGCCATGCAGGGTCTTCTGCAGATCTTGTCATGATTCAACTTTAATATGCAAAAGGTTAAAAATTAACCTGACAGTTCAATATGAAAAATAATCACCATGTGCAGTGATAATATGTAGAGGTAGTTCATGAAGTTATATTTGTTGTTAATGCAAAATACTTCTATTGACAAAAATATTTTAGTTCCTACTGGGAAAAATAATTTATTTATGCAACATTATAGATAAAAATAGCCTATACCAGCCACTACATATAGAACAATAAATTTACATTGATATAGTATCAATAAAAAATATATTTACAATGGTATAGTAATTCACAATGGCAATACATATGGACTTGTTACCAATCTTCATTTCGACAAACATAAATTAGTTCTTACTGAGAAAAAAAAATATTTATGCAACATTATAAATAAAAAAAAGTCTGTATAAGTCACTTAGAATCGAGAAAAAAATTACATTAATATAGTCATCCATAATGCCACTACACGTATATTTGACACAAAAATAATTTACAATGATATAGTCATTCACAATGCCACAAATAAATTTACAATGATATAGTGGGCACAACCCCAACTCGATTGAAATGATCACAAATAGTCGTACATCTCAATTACAAATATGCAAGATAATATAATAAAAAATACAAGCTCCAAACATGGCCACAACTCAATTATCAGAACATACATTTTTTGCATTAAAAATTTAATAATAAAATTGAAAAAATGCAAGATAATATAATTATCATACATGCCATGATTTTTTTACAATGATATTCACTTTAATTCCTCATGATAATACAATTTAAAAACATGTATTATTTGCATTAAAAATTTTAAAACTTAAAAATACATTTTTAATGCAAAACTGCATTAAAAATATAATACAGTTTCAAAGCATGTATTTGTTAATGTATTTTTTTGCATTAACAACAAATTAAAATATACAGTTTTGCATTAAAAATATAATAACATGTATTTTTTTGCATAAATAATCCATCAACATGCAATTTTTTTAACTAAAAATTTAACAATAAGAATTAAAATTATTGTTTAATTCCTCATGATAATGAAAACCTGGTCACGATTTTCACAATCTTTTGGAAAATCACGATTTTCAAAAAACTTGATCATGAATTAAAAAAAAAAACAAAGGCAGTTCTTCACAGACCCACCTAACATCAGTCATTCCAACTCAAAAATCCGCCTCAAATCGAATAAATTACATCAAATTGACTACATGTTTTGATAAACAACACTATAACCAATCAAAGCCCTATAATATTAACACATTATTATTAAAAAATTAAATAAAATCAATTGAATTGAG